CGCTTTGTTGAAGCCACAGTAATTAGAAAAACAAATGCCCAGTTACTGGCTCTCCGTGGGTACAAGCAGCTAAGTACAGACACCAAGGCGTAAAAGGTGATGCTTCCTGATATCCATAAGGGAGCATCAAAGGGGGGAGTGAAGTGGAAATTTTGTGCAGGATTTTGTCAGCACGCTGTCAGAAACCGTCCCTGTTTTTGAAACTGATCCTATTTTTGTTAGTAACTGCCTCTTTCTGCTTCTGTGCCTCAACTTATTGCTTCCTGACTGGAAAGCCTTCAGAAAACTGCCACATCGTCTAAAACCTGCTGCGTTGTCTAAAGTTCTGAGTTACTTCCCCTACCCCTTCACCTATAAAAACTATATAATTTTCTTAGCTGGGGTCCAGACTTTTGGGTGTGAACCCTTCTGGGCCTGCCGGCATAATATAGAGTGTTCCTCTGTTCCCATGAGTGCCGCTTGGGTTTCTTGTCAGGTAGGATTTTCCAGAACAAAACTACTGCTACATCCAAGGTCATGAAGGTTTAACTGTTTGTTTTCTTATAGAGTTTTTGGTTTTGCCATATTTAGGTCTTTGATCCATTTTAAGTTAAAATTTTTTTATGTGGTAATAGGTAAGGTGGATAGCAAGTCGCTTTACGTAACTTGCTGAGGACAGCACTTTTTTCCCCAATTGAATGGACATGGATTTTGTCTAAAATCAGTTGAACGCAGAGGTATTGTTTTATGTTTGGACTCCCAATTCAGTTCAATTGATCTTTCTGTTTATTCTTGCGCCAGTATCATGCTGTTTTGATTACTATTGCTTTGTAATAAGATTTGAAATTGGAATATGCAAACCTACAGATTTGGAGTTGTTTTTCTGGATTGGTTTGGCTTTTCAGGGTTCCTTGAAACTCCATATAAACATTAGGATCAGCTTTCTCATTTCTGTCCCAAGGCCTTTGGGATTCTCATAGGAATAACACTGAATCTGTAGATTGCTTTGTGTAGTTTGGCAAACTTAACAAGTATGGTTTTCAAATCCGTGAACATGACATGTTTTTACATTTATTTGGGCTTTAATTTCCTTAAGCAATGTCTTATAATTTTCCCCTTTTAAGTCTTATCCTTTGATTACATTTATTCCTAAGCATATTACTGCTATTGGTATTATTTGCAGTGGAATTTTTATAATTTTGTTTTCAGAGTATTCATTGCTAGTGTATACATATAAAATGGATTTTTTGGCCAGGCATGGTGGCTCACGCCGGTAATCCCAGCACTTTGGGAGGCTGAGGCAGGCAGATTACCTGAGGTCAGGAGCTCGAGACCAGCCTGGTCAACATGGTGAAAACCTGTCTCTACTAAAAAGACAAACTTAGCTGGGTATGGTGGCATATGCCTGTAATCCCAGCTTTGTTGAAAGCCCTTTCTGCAACAGCTGAGAAAATTATGGGGTGTTTCCCATTCATTCCAACAATACTGTGTGTTACATGAATGGCATTAATGTGTGGAACAACCGTTGATTTATCGGGATAAAAACTCATGTTCATGGTGTTTGATCCTCTCACAATGCTGTTGGTTTAAATTTGCTATTACTTTGTTGAGGATTATTAAGTCTACATTTCTGAGGTTATAGATCAGTCCTGGAAGTGGCATGACCCTGAGTAGGATAGACGAGTGAGATTGTGTATAGACTGCAGTTAGTTTTAGAGTTAGTGTGTCAGTATTGCAGAATCAGGAGATAAGGGTTGAAGGGTTCGGAGTTTACCAGTTAAAGGTTATGGTATAAGGGTGTCAAGATAGGAGGTTCAGGTTGGTGGTTGGGAGCTGCACAGTAGAGATTAGAGGGAGAGATCAGGTGAATAACAGGGTTAGGTTGAGAGGTCAGGATTATAGTGAAGGGTTAGGGTGAAAGGGTTATTAGGGTTACAGTAAAGGTTAGAGTGGATTTAGATTAAGGGAGTCACAAATTTGTGTGGTTACAAATTCTTTTCACAGTCTTTCTTTCTTTGAATATTTTTGAATGCTTTCACTCATGTTTTAATAGCTCATTTGTCTCACAGCATTAAAGTAGTTGAAACAGATAGGAAATATTTAACAGTAGGCATATGATAACTAAAAACATTAAGTTTAAATATATTGCTTATACCTCCCCAAACAAAATAACATGTACCGAGTACTAATATATAGATATATAAAGATTGTGAGCTGAACAAAGTGCAGATTTAGCTTGAGCATCCGGGGAGGGGATATGATGGCTTCGACCCTTTCCTACACCTGCCAGGGTTGTTCACACTACATCCCTGTCCAGGACATTCTTATGTCGGCATTGCATGTTTCCAACTTAATAATTCCCCAAGCTAGACTGTCTCCATTATTCTTTCCTTTCAACAAAGGCAATACAGCTTTCTCCCATTGGTTTGACCGTATATTTAATATGAACAAACCTTATGATATGATACATTTGTTCATGATGGGCTACTTCGGTTATATAATCAAATATATTTTGATTCTGACACTCTCAATTAAATTTAAGTCGATGTATTTTCCTAGGAGCATTAATCATTCATTGCATATTTTATTTCATAAATAAGGCACAGATCCTTTTTTATGATTAATTTCATGACTAGATATATTGACATTATAATTACTTACAAGTTCAACTAAATTTGGAAACATTTTAGAATTTGGGCTTCCACTAATTATCTGTGATCCTCTAAAAGGTAAATTATTTTTTCCCATAAAACATAGCAACATCTAAATCACTCAGAATATTCTGCCATTTTTGTTTCTCTAGTTTCATCACTTTCTGCAAAGTGTCATTGAGGAAATTGACTTTGAATATTCTTAAACTCTTCTGTTTTAGAAAGCATCACAATGAAACATTAAATTATTGTGGTTGCAAATTCTTTTCACATTCATTCTTTCTTTGAATATTTTTTCCCAGTGGACAATATTGCATTCTATTATATAATTGCTGAAAAGCATGCATGGAAAACAAAGACAGGGATATTTTGGAGTAAGTGATCCAGTCACAGGGAATCGATTTGCCATTGAAACATTTTCTTTTCTAAATCTTGGGTAGTAAAACAACAAGAATAACAACGAAAGGTCATAGACACTAAGGAACTTTTTTTTGTTTTTTTTTTTTTAAGATTGAGTTTCACTCTTGTTTCCCAGGCCAGAGTGCAATAGCATGATCTTGGCTCATCACAACCTCCAACTCCTGGGTTCAAGCAATTCTCTTGCCTCAGCCTCCCAAGTAGCTGGGATTACAGGCATGCGCCAACATGCCCAGCTAGTTTTGTATTTTCAGTAAAGACAGGGTTTCACTATGTTGGTCAGGATGGTCTCGAAAGGACCTTTTTTTTTACAGTCATTCTTTTGACAGTGTTCAACCATGAATTGAAAGTCTCTAAAAGGAATTTTTTCTTGGTTCTCTAAAAGAGGACCACCCTTTTAGAGAGTGAACCCAAGACACAATCACAATACCAGAAAAAATTATGTTAAGTAAGTTTATACATATATGTTATTACTTTAACTTAAAACAGGCATTTATTTGGAATTATATATTCATCTGTAAAGAGGCATTTATTTGGCATTATACATGCATCTATATGATTTAATTTTTGTGTCATAAATGTTCTTATTAAGAGACAGGAATAGTTAATAGGGTCAATTACTAGAACAGTACAAATTATTAAGCAGGTGTTTGAAAAAATATAACACTGTTTAAATTAAGTTTTATTTTAGAGTTGTTTTAGATTTACACAGATATAGCAAAGAAAACACAGATTTCCCAGGTAGCTGCAACCCAGCATTCTCTCTTATTAACATCTTCTGTCAGGATGTCTCATTTCATTTGTCACAGTGAATGAACAAATATTGATATACTATTATAAACTGAAACCCATATTTTATTTGGATTTCCTTAGTTCTATCTTTCCCCACTTCAGAGAGGAGGAGTTCTATCTTCCCCCGACCCACCCAGGGTCCCACATAACATTAGTTGTCACGACTCCTTTGGTTCTTCTTGGCTGTGATGATTTCTCAGACTTTCCTTCTTCCAATAACCTTGACAGTGTTAAGGAAGATTGGTCAAACATTTTGTAGAATATCACACATTGTTATTTACCTGGTGCTTTTCTGATAAGTTGACTGGGGTTATGGGTTTGGGGGAAGCAGATTACAGAGGTGAAATGCTATTTTTATCACTTCATGCTTGAGCTCAGGAATGTCAAGGCTGCAGTGAGCCATGATTGTGCCACTGTACTTCATCCTGGGTGACAGAGCAAGACCCTGTCCAAAAAATAATAATAATAATAAGTTCATTTCCCTTGGTTCATGATTTTGGTGGCAGGAACATCGAAGATTGAGCAGCTTGCATTTGGTGGGGCTTAATGGTGCTTCAAAACAAGGTGGCAAGCAGAAGGGGGGCCAGTGTGCACCAGTGATCACATGGCAAAAGAGAAAGTAAGAGAGAAACCAAGGAAGCTAGACTGTTTTTAACAACCTGCTCTTGGCTGGGCAGCAGAGTGAGACACTGTCTCAAAAGTAATAATAACAATAATTAAAAAAATAAAATGTTAGCCATGAATTAGGCATAAATACTGTGATAGTTAATTTTAGGTGTCCCCTTGACAGGATTAAGTGATGCTCACATAGCACTATTTCTGGGTGTATTTGTGAAGGCATTTCTGGAAGTCCTTTGATAAGAACCTCTGCTGATTTAGTCATCATTCTCTTCTTGTTACTGAGAGGGAGACTCCAGTTAAAATGGGGATTTTTGTGAGAGATGTAAATTTCCCTCATAAAAGGTTAACTTTTACTCTATTTTCAGAACTTCCCTGTATCTGGAACGCCTGGCTTGAGGTGATCCTCCTGCCTGGGATTACAAGCCTGGCCAGCCTGTCTTTTTTATTTTTCGTACAAGATCTTTCACAGAGTATAAACTTTTCTTATTCATTACTAAATGAGTGTGGGAGTGGGAGAGTGGGGGTGGAATATTCATGAGTTTTCTGGGAAAGGGATAGGCAATTCCCAGAACTCAGGGTTTCTCCCATTTTTAAACCATATAGGGTAACTTCTGGACATTGCCATGGCATTTGTAAACTGTCATGTCACTGGTGGAAGTGTATTTTAGCATGCTACTCAAACCGTCTTTGCAAAATTATGACTGAGACAGTGAAAGAAATCTAACTTAACTGACTCCGACTTGCTTATAATCTTCAAGCTGTCCTTGTTCATTCCTGGGGGTAGCCTGAACTAACTTTGGGAGAAACTTAGTTTCTAGCTCAAACAAAGATGGTAACAGCCCTTTCCCAAAGCAGACCTCTTTCTTGCCTGGGGACTAACATTAGCCACAACATTAGAAATTATGGTTTTGGAGTCATGCAGCTGGAGGCTACAAGATTCTGACCCTCTCTAAACTGCTCCTAAGGTCAGTACTTGAAATGTTTTGTAGACCCTGCACTTGATGGACCAGCTGACACCACTCATATTAATAAACTGGCTCATCTGAACTTGTGGTCCCTACCCCAGAACTGACTCAGCTCAAGAAGACAGTTCAGATTCCCTGTGATTTCATCTCTGACGAATCAGCACTCTTGACTCACTGGCTTCCCCCAAACCACCAAGTTATCCTTAAAACCTCTGTTCCCTTGGTGGGCAAGGTGGCTCACACCTGTAATCCCAGCACTTTGGGAGGCTGAGGCAGGTGGATAGCCTGAGGCCAGGAGATGGAGACCAGCCTGGACAACATAGTAAAACCCCATCTCTACTAAAAATACCAAAATTAGCTGGGTGTGGTAGTGTACCCCTATAATCCCAGCTACGTAGGGGGCTGAGGCAGGAGAAGAGTTTGAACCCAGGACACGGAAGTTTCAGTAGCCAAAATCACACCATTGCACTTCAGTCTGGGTGACAAGAGCAAGCCTCTGTCTAAAAAAAAAAAAAAAAAAAAAAAAAAAAAAAAAACCTGCTCCCTGAATGCCTAGGGGAGACTGATTTGAATAATAACAAAACTCTGGTCTCCATCACAGCCGGCTGTGCATGAATTACCTTTCTGTATTGCAATTCTCCTGTCTTGATCAGTCAGCTCTATCTAGGGAGAGGGCAAGGTGAGCCACTTGGGCGGTTACAGTAATGCATTATAATTAGTGTACAGCAAGCAGTGAGGATGACTAGAAGTCACTTTCATTGCCATCTTGATTTGGCCTGTTTTTGTTGTTTGTTTGTTTGTTTCCATATTCTATTTTATCAGTAGGGTCTTTGTGACCTATATCTTGTGCCCGCCTCCTATCTCATCCTGTAATTGAGAACACTTAACCTCTTGGGAATGCAGCCCAGCAGGTCTCAACCTTATTTTACCCAACACCTATTCAAGATGGAGTCGCTGTGGTTCAAATGTCTCTGACAGTGCTATATATGAAAACTCATGACCAAATCCAAGGTCACATAGCTTCCTTTCTATGTTTTCTTCTAGAATTTCTATACTTTTATGGGCCAGGTGTGGTGGCTCATGCCTGTAATCCCAGCACTTTTGGAGGCCGAGGTGGGTGGATATCCTGATGTCAGGAGTTCAAGACCAGTCTGGCCTACATGGCGAAACCCCATCTCTACTAAAAATACAAAAATTAGCCAGGCGTGGTGGTAGGCACCTGTAATCCCAGCTACTTTTGGGAGGCTGAGACAGGAGAATCACTTCAACCCAGGGGACAGAGGTTGTAGTAAACCAAGATCACACCACTGCACTCTAGCCTGAGCAAAAGGGCAAGACTTTGTCTAAAAGAGAAAAAAAAGTAAATAAGAGGAAAAAAAAGAATTTGCATAGTTTTGTCACCAAAAAAAGGGGTCTGGCCCAGACCCCAAGAACGAGTTTTTGGATCTCACACAAGAAAGAATTTATGGTGAATCACAGAGTCTAGTGACGTTAAGAGAGTTGATTAGCAACTACTCAGTTACAGAGCAGGGTGTCCTCAGGAAGCAAGAGGAGGAATACACCTTTTTAAAACAAAAAAAAATTTTTTTGAGATTTTATTCTTTTTACAATGGCATGATCTTGGCTTACTTCAACTTCTGCTTCCTGCGTTCAAGGATTCTCCTGCCTAAACCTCCCAAGCTGGGATTACAGGTGTGTGCCACCATGGCCAGCTAACTTTTTGTACTTTTAGTAGAGACTGGGTTTCACCATGGCTGCCAGGCTGGTCTCCAACTCCTGGCCTCAAGTGATCTGCCCTCCTTCGCCTCCCAAAAAGCTGGGATTACAGGTGAGAGCCATTGCCCCTGGCCTTAATGTTTGTCTATATAGGTTACTAAGAATAGTATTGTCTCTTATAAAGGCTTGTGATCAGTTTGTGACAGCCTATTAGTAGTGTTACTTTTCTACATTACTGTTGATTTTAACAAGAATTTATGAGTGTAATATTATTTTTAAAGAAAAACTTATTTTTAAACTAAGAATGCTTTTTGTTCTTAAAGTACTGGCACATTTTTACGAGTTTTGGGTCTTTATTTAGTTATTAACTTGTTCCTGCAACCATAAATAGTTTGTAACCAAAAGTGCTCAACCCCCTAAATATATAATCTAACAAATTAAATACGTGCACGTGTGTGTGTGTGTATGAGAGAGAGAGAGAGAGAGAGAGAGAGAGAGAGGGTCTCATTCTGTCACTGTGGCTGGAGTGCAGTGGTGTGATCATGGCTGGCTGACTGTGGCCTCAAATTCCTGGGTTCTAGTTATCCTCCTACCTCAGCCTCCTGAGTAGCTGGGACCACAGGCACTTGGCACCACATCAGCTAATTTTTATATTTCTTGTAGACATGGAGGGGGGTCTCACTATTTTCCCAGGCTGGTCTTGAACTTCTGATCTCAAGTGATCCTCCCGCCTTGGCCTTCCAAGCTGCTAGGATTACAAACGTGAGCCACTGCACTCTGTCTGGATTTAACTTTTTAAAAAAGCTTTTATTTAAAATAAAGTCACTGTGGTTGAGACACCTCTGACAGTTTTGCATTTTAAGTCTGAAGACGATGTTGAGTGAATTTTTGCATAAGCTGTAAAATGTGCATCCATGTTTATTTCATTTCCTATGGTTTCCAATTAATTGTCCCTTCTTCCTTTTTAGAAACACATGGTCTAGTGGGTCCATGTCAGTTTGCATTTCCAGTAGGATGGCGCTGAACACTCTGTGCTCCGACTTTCAGTGGTGCAGTGGGACAGCCAGCAGAGGGCGTGCCTCCCCTAGAGCCCAAGGGCCCTGCAGTGCCCCCCGCCACCAGCAGAGGGCGCTCCAGGCCAGCTTTTCTTATCCCGGAGGCCGCCGTGTCCCTCCCACTTCCTCAGCACAGGCGCCCAGCGAGGGCGAGAGCCGCATTCTTCTGAGCTGCAGACCGCGGGACGCCCCTCACTTTTGGACACCTCGAGCCTGCGTCCACGGTGAGTAAAATCCTTCCTGTTCGCCACCCTGACTGCCGAGGGGCAGAGACCCTTCATGTGGAAAATTAGAAGCCAAAAACCCCGGTGAAGCCAGCGCAGCCGAGGTTCTTTCTGCACACCCAAGGCGAGGCGGCCACAGGACCAAGCATCGGGCGCGGAACAGAAACGCAGCATCAGGAGAGCAAACAGGGCACCCGCCACACTGATAGTCACCCCCATAATGCCATTAACGCTCTGTCTGTGCCACTGGTGTTAGCACCCATTACACAGATGTCACACCCATCAGGGGACCCCGGAAATGCGGATGTGTCCCTCAGAGCGCACGGAGCACCTGGAACGTTCATGACACCGTCACACTCAGAGCGCGCACATATCACCCGGAATGCTCGTGACATTGTCAGACTAGCCCAACACCCATCACACTCACATAACCCCCGGAACATGCATGTGTCCCTCAGAGCACACACATATCACCCGGAACGCCCGTGACACTCAAAGTAACCCAACACCCGACACATTCGTATAACCCCTGGAACATGCGTGTGTACCTCAAGACACACACGTAACGCTCAGAACACCCGTCACACAGTCAGACTCAGTGTGCACATATCACCCAGAATGCACAAGTGACACCATCAGATTAACCCAACACCTGTCACAGTCATATAACCCCCGGAATATGCATGTGTCCCTCAGAACAAATATGTAATGCCGGGAATGCCTGTGACACCGTCAGACTAACACAACACCTGTCACACTCATATAAACCCTGAAACACTCGTGTGTCTCTCAGACACACATATCACCTGGAACACCTATGACACCGTCAGACTAACACAGCACCCACCATGCTCATATAACCTCTGGAACACACGTGTCCCTTAGAACACACATATTGTGCGGGACGCAGACATGGCCTTTGGAGCCCACTCAGAGCACCTGCAGCACTAAGGATGGGACCCTCCAGCTCTTGCCAGGGCTCTGGGTTCACAGCCTATGCCGAGCTGGGTTTGGGCTGGATTTGATCTGTTACGAAGTGTGATGATGTTTTTTCTGCCTTTCTGACATGGTATCGACACGGTTGTTTTAAAAAGTAGTTTACTTCCCAGTAATGTCGTACTTCTGAGAAACTTGCAGTTGCAGTTAGTATGCCTTCTCCTTTCTCTCCAATTCTCCAGCAGTTATTGCTGTGCCAGATTTGCGGCTTCACACAAAATACCCCCATGTGTTTCACCAAAAGCAGGAACACTCCTCCAGGTGACTCCCATATAACCCCCAAATCTGGAAATACACAGTTTCTTTTTTTCTTTTTTTGAAGATGGAGTCTTGCTCTGTTGCCAGACTGGAGTGACGTTGTGTGATCTCGGCTCACTGCAACCTCCACCTCCCAGGTTCAAGGGATTCTCCTGCCTCAGGCTTCCCAGTAGCTGGGATTACAGGTGTGTGCCACCACACCCGGCTAATTTTTTATATTTCTTTTTTTTTTTTTTTTTTTTGAGACAGAGTCTTACTCTAATACCAGTCTTGCTCTAATTTTTTATATTTCTTTTTTTTTTTTTTTTGAGACAGAGTCTTGCTCTAATACCAGGCTGGAGTGCAGTGGCACAATCCTGGCTTACTGCAACCTCTGTCTCCCGGTTCAAGTGATTCTTCTGCCTCAGCCTCCCGAGTAGCTGGGACTACAGGCACACACCACCACACCAGGCTAATTTTTGTATTTTTTTAGTAGAGATGGGGTTTCATCATGTTCATCAGTATGGTCTTGATCTCTTGACCTCGTGATCTGCCCGCCTCAGCCTCCCAAAGTGCTGAGATTACAGGCATGAGCCGCTGCCCCCAGCTGAAAATAAATGGTTTCTATGTGAAAGTCCAGTCTGCAGACCTACTTCACTTCACTGCCTGCCCCAGCTGGGATAAAAATGTCTCTTTCCATGGGGGCCCAATTTTCCTTTTTGGGAACTGTTCCTGAGACTCTCAATTTTCTTTTGAGACTAAATTTCACTCTTGTGCAGGCTGTAGTGTAATGGTGCAATCTAAGCTCACTGCAGCCTCCACCTCCTGGGTTCAAGAGATTCTCCTGCCTCAGCCTCCTGAGTAGCTGAAATTACAGGTATCCACCACCAGCCTGGCTAATTTATTGTATTTTTAGTAGAGACAGGGTTTCACTGTGTTGGCCAGGCTGGTCTCGAACTCCTGACCTCAGGTGACCCACCTGCCTTGGTCAACCAGAGTGCTGGTATTACAGGCATGAGTTACCATGCCCAGCTGACTCTCTCAGTTTTCACAGTCTTGACAGATGTAAAGAGCAGAGATGACTCCAAGCTGGGTCTGCCCAGCGTTTCCTCCTGAACGGGTGCAGACCCCGCCTTCCCAGCAGGAACACCCTGGCCTGGTGCTGCGCTCTCCTCAGCGCAGTCCACCTGGAGGAGCTTCCATCTATCCCACCACCACTGGCAGCCTCACTGGCAAGTATTTATTTACAATCACAAATTTCATCCTGTCAAGCTCCGGATTCAACTTTGCCAATGGTTTCCCAATGGAAACCATAGAACCATGGTCCCTGGATCTCAAGTGCTCCAGCCTGCTGCTCTCTCCCATCCAGTCCACTACTGCTGCCTGCAGTCCCACTCATAGGCACATGGGCCCCCGGACATCTCGGGGATTTTACGTCTGTAACCTCAACCCATTCACCCAGTGCCCACCTAGTTTTGTAAGGCTTTTTCTAGATAAGTCCATAAAGTCACAGCAGTTATGTTATGTAAAAGTAGAAAAGTTAATGTGATTTTTCTAAAGACAAGGAAATAATTCATTATTTATAAGACCATCTGTGGGATGACCTTTAAGTTATTTTATTGGAGATGGAGTCTCCCTATGTTGCCAAGGCTGGAGTTCAGTGGCACAATCTCTGCTCACCATAGCCTCCACCTCCCAGGTTCAAATGATTCTCATGCCTCAGCCTCCTGAGTAGCTGGGACTACAGGTAGCCACCACCACTCTCAGCTAATTTTTGTATTTTTAGTAGAGATGGGATTTCACTATGTTGGCCAGGATGGTCTCGAACTCCTGACTTTGTTATCCGCCCACCTCATCCTCCCAAAGTGCTGGGGTTACCAGTGTGAGCCACCATGCTCAGCCACCCTCAATTTATAAATCAAGGAAATACTAGTTCCCTGGAACCAAAGTTTATGTTTGAGATAATTAGGAAAGAAAAACAAAATCTCAGTGCTGAAGGAAAGGCAAATGGCACAGTTGATTATTGAAATTTCAGAAGGCGGCGGCTGGGTGCAGTGATTTATGCCTATAATCCCAGCACTTTGGGAAGCCAAGACACGCAGATCACTTGAGGTCAGGAGTTTGAGACCAGCCTGGACAAGTTGGTGAAACCTCGTCTCTACTTAAAATATAAAAATTAACCAGGAGTGGTTGCACATGCCTGTAGTCCCAGCCACTCAGGAGGCTGGGGCAGGAGAATCACTGAACCCGGAAGCTGGAGGTTGCAGTGAGCCGAGATCGTGCCACTGCACTCCAACATGGGTAACAGAGGGAGACACTGTCTCCAAAAAAAAAAGAAAAGAAATTTTAGAAGAATTTAGTGGACAGATTATTACCTGGCTATATTTTGTAGCCTTGTGTTAGCAGTTGCAAGGTAGTTTATGTTTAAACTTTTATATTTTATATAGTCAATCAAACTATCAAAAAGTCCTGTCCACATCATGATAAACTATATAAATATTTGGAAACCTCTTCATCTATACAATGGAAAATTGGTGAAGTAAGTGTAGTTTTTGTTTTTTTATTTTTGAGATAGAGTCTCACTCAGTTGCCTAGGCCAGAGTGCAGTGGCACAATCTCAGCCCCCTGCACCCTCTGCCCCCTGGGTTCAAGCGATTCCCCGGCCTCAGCCCCCTGAGTAGCTGCTACTACAGGCAAGGGCCACCACACCTGGCTAATTTTTTGTATTTTAGTAGAGATGGGGGTTCACCATGATGGCCAGGATGGTCTTACACTCCTGACCTCATCCTTCTGCCTCAGCCTCTCAAAGTGCTGGGATTACAGGTGTGAGCCACTGCGTGTGGCCATAAGTGTAGATATTTAAGCAGATGAATTATTAATATTTAAGTAGTGAAATGAGTAAGGGAATGTAATTATGTCACACCTCTGGTATGGGACTTTGGGCTCCCTCTGTTGCCCCCTGCTGGATGACAAATTGTTGGCCGGTGGAGACTGAAGGATAAACTGCCACCTTCATTGAAAACTCTAGTCCAGCAGGAAGGTCCTCATTTCTGAATGTACCACTTCCTCACAGGCATTTTTTTTTTTCAGATGGAGCTTTGCTCTCGTTGCCCAGGCTGGAGTGCCATTGGGGAATCTCGGCTTACCACAACTTCCATCTTCTGGGTTCAAGCAATTCTCCTGCCTCAGCCTCTCCAGTAGCTGGGATTATAGGTGCATGCCACCATGCCTGGCTAATTTTTGTATTTTTAGTACAGACGGGTTTTCGCCATGTTGGCAAAGCCAGTCTTGAACTCCTGACCTCAAGTGATCCATCTGCCTCGGCCTCCCAAAGTGCTGGGATTACAGGTGTGAGCCACCATGCCTAGCCTTTTCTTTTGGAGACAGGGTTTTGTGTTGTCACCCAGGCTGGAGTGCGGTGGTGCGACCTCAGCTTACTGCAACCTCCATATTCTGGGCTCAAGCAATCCTCCTGCCTCAGCCCCCCAAGTAGCTGTGACTACAGGTGTGTGCCACCACGCCTGGCTAATTTTTGTATTTCTAGTAGAGACGGCATTTTGCTGTGTTGTCCTGGGTGGTCTTGAACCCCTGGACTCAAGTGATCCACCTGTCGCAGCGTCCCAATGTGCCATGATTATAGGCATTAGTTACTGTGCCCAGCCTATTTTTAACTTTTTGAGGAAACTCCAAACTATGTTAAAAATAGGCTGCACAGTTTTATATTCCCCATACGGTGTTTAAGGGTTGTGATTTTTCTTTGACCTTGCCAACACTTGTTATTTTACATGTCTTGGATTATAGCCTTTCTGTATGTGTGAAGGAGTATGTCACTGTGGTTTCTGTTTAGATGGCCATAATGATGATGATATTAATCATCTTTTTATGTGCTTGTTTTCCATTAGCATGTTTTATTGGTGAAGTGTGTGTTGAACTCTTTCTCTATTTTGTAATTTGGTTGCTTTTGTTGTTGAGTTACGCAAATTAACATTGTGGTTAGCAGACTGTTGTTAGACATATAATGCACAAATATTTTCTTCCTTTCTGTGGGTTGTCTTTTCACTTTTCTTTTTTTTTTTTTTTTTTTTTTTCATTTCACACAGAGTCTTGCTCTGTTGCCCAGGCTGGAGTGCAGTGGGTGCAATCTCAGCCCACTGTAACCTCCGCCTCCTGGGTTCAAGTGATTCTCCTGCCTCAGCCTCCCAAGTAGTTGAGATTACAGGCTTCCGCTACCACACCCACCTAATATTTTGGTTTTTTTTTTTGAGATGGAGTCTTGCTATGTTGCCCAGGCTGGAGTGCAGTACTGCCATCTAGGCTCACTGTGAACTTCACCTCCTGGATTGAAGTGATCCTCCTGCCTCAGCCTCCTGAGGATCTGGGATTACAGGCGGGTGCCACCACGCCTGGCTAATTTTTGCATTTTCAGTAGACATGGGTATTCTTCCTGTTGGTCAGGCTGGTCTCCAGGTAGCGGGCTTCAGAGAGCATAGATTGTAAATGTTTCTTACTAGATTTAAGGTCTGTGTTGATGTTAAATGCTGATTGGCTTTTCCTGAATTCCAAAATGAGGAAGGGCATAATGAGGAATGTCTGACCACCTCTTTCCCATCATGGCCTGAACCAATCTTCCAGGTTAACTTTGATGTCCCCTGGTGGAGAGGAGGGAGTCTATACAGATAATTGAGGGAAGGGCCTTTGAATTTTATTTTTGGTTTGCAAGTGCTATTCCAATCACTTCATGCTCTCAAGATGCGTTATCACCATTAATGTTAACTTTGATCACCTGGCTGAGATAGTATTTTCAGGTTTCTCACTGTGAAGTTACTTTTTTTCCATGTCTATATCGTATGTATTCTTTTGGAGGAAGTCACCACACAGAGCCCACACCTAAGGAGTGGGGAGCAGTTAGCCATATGTCCTTAGTAACTGAATGTCTGTATCAGGTATTTGGAATTCTTCTGTATGAGAAAATTCTATTCAGCTCATCTGTGTATCTGTTTAATCATTTGTATGTACCGGTATGGACACTCAGATAGTTACTTTAATCTTTTGGTTGTTATCCATTCTACAGTATTTTGCTTTTCTTTGTTTATACATGTGGCCACTGGGAGCTCTTTCCACTGGCTCCTTTGACATAATTTAATGTTGTTGTTGTTGTTGTTGTTTAAAACAATTTCTTTCAGTTATTTCAAAAGTATCCTGGCTCATATACTTTCTGTTCTAGGGTTAATTTCAGCCATTTCTTCAAAGAGCCCCGATTTCCTTTGTTAGAGAATGGTATTAAAAACTTATATCCAGCCACTAAATGTGGTCATTGCATCATGACCTAGCAGCTGACAGTGCAAAGAAATACATGTGTGTATTTTAACTTATATGTACACAATTATAAAGGTTTCTATGTGGAACCATCTGTGTATATATTAAGCTAGATGTCAGCTTATACTTATGTCTCCAATCGATAGACTCACAGAGATCATTTTAGGCTTCCTCCGTTTTATATCTGTAACATCTCACTCAACAGCGAGGAACCTGGCTCCCACTATCTGCCATTTATTGCATCCCCTGTTCCATTGGGAACAAGGAATTCACTCTTGATCCAGACTCCAGGTTGTGACCTAAGAGATATATGTTTGGTCTCTGTCTCCAGTTCCTGGCATAGAGCTCCTAAAACTTCTATGATTTCCTGAACAACAGTGGTACTAGGTGCATCTTATGTTCTAATATTTGGGCTCTGGCCCTGGTTCTTGACGCAGAGCTCCTAAATCCCTTGGAATCTCCTGGGTAATAGGAATGTCTTCTGTTCTAATAAGGATCCTAATAAGGTTCTAATAAGTTGTTGTTACCATAGAATTGGACAACCATTTCCATGAAGATCTAGAACCACAGGGCCTATCTGCTATGACAGCAGGTGTCACCAACGCAATCAGCACTTGGCCACAAGTACCTTCACTTAGAGCCAGGAGAGTTCTCCTTCTGCACTTGGTCTCCCAAAGTGCTGGCATTATAGGCATGCGCCACTACACCTGGCCCGATCCCCCAAAAAATGGGTTTGTGCCTGGCAGAGGGCACCCCCAGATGGATAACATTTGAAATTGTTTCATATAATGTGTGGACCTCTTCACAAATACCCTCAGAATGTGCAGACTTATCCATCTGTCCAGCGATTTCACATACAAGCAATCATGTCAGTTCCCTTTTTTATACAAAGCAATTTTGTTTCTCTTCTTTTGCTATCTCTAGTCCTTTCAGCGTGATGAAAACAAGAAATGGTGGCATACCTGAGCCATCTCTATGTTTCTTATTTTTTATTTTTATTTATTTTATTTGTTATTTATTTATTTATAAGAAAGCATCTCACTCTGTCACCCAGGCTGTAGTGCAATGATGCCATCTTGGCTCACTGCAACCTCCACCTCCTGGGTTCAAGTGATTCTCCTGCATCAGCCTCCCAAGTAGCTGGGACTGCAGGCATGCACGACCATGCCCAGCTAATTTTTTTGCATTTTTATTAGAGGTGAGGTTTCACCATGTTGGCCAGGCTGGTCTTGAACTTCTGACCTCAGGTGATCTGCCCACCTTGGTCTCCCAAAATTCTGAGATTACAGCCATGAGCCACCACACTCAGCTTTATTGAGATAGGGTCTCACTCTGTCACCCAGGCTGGCATGCAGTGGCGTGAACTCAGCCTACTGCATCGTCAAACTCCTGGACTCAAAGGATCCTCCCAGCCTCCTGAGTAGCTGGGACTACAGGCATGGGCCACCACATCAGGCTACTTTTTTAATTTTTTTGTAGAGACAAGAATCTTGCTGTGTTGCCCAGGTCTTGAACTCCTGGCCTGAAGTGATTCTCCTGCACTTGGCTTCCCAAACTTCCCAAAGTGCTGGAATTACAGGCATGAGCCGCAGCACCTAACCTAATCTCTGTTTTTGTTGTTGTTGTTGTTTTTTAGAGATGAAGTCTTGCTCTTGTCACTCAAGGTAGAGTGGAGTGGTGCCATCTTTGTTCACCACAACCTCTGACTGCTGGGTTCAAGCAATTCTCCTGCCTCAGCCGTCTGAGTAGCCAGAATTACAGGTGCCCACCACCATGCCTGGCTAATTTTTGAATTTTTAGTAGAGACTGGGTTTCACCATGTTGGCCAGGCTGGTCTCGAACTCCTGCCCTCAGGCAATCCGCTCGCCTCGGCCTCCCAAAATGTTGGGATTACAGGTGTGAGCCACTGCACCCAGCCCCTAATCTCTGTTTTAAGGGTCTCTTTCTTCCCCCAAAATGGGTTTGTGACTGGGAGAGGGCGCCCCCAGGTGGACAACATTTGAAATTGTTCCATATAATGGCTTGACAGCCTTATTGGAAAAGCCACCATCCTCTTCCCAGATCTTGTCTGTGGAATGGCAGTCATCACCTCTAATATTTATCTTTTGTTTTGGGAACACGAAAATCCTTCTGTTTTAGCTATCTTGAAATATTCAAATAAATTCTCATTCACTGTAGTTTCCCTTGTGCACTATTGATTACTGCAACTTATTTCTTCTCTCTAGGCCTTCTTGTCCTTCATTCATTCTTTTTTAAAATTATTTTTATTTATTTCTGAGACAATCTCTCTCTTTCTGCCAGGCTAGAGTGCAGTGGCATGATCTCAACTCACTGCAACTTCCACCTTCTGGGTGCAGGCAATTCTCCTCCCTCAGCCTCCCAAGTAGCTGGGATTACAGGTGTGCACCATTCCTAGCTAACTTTTGTATTTTTAGTAGAGATGGGGTTTCACCATGTTGTCCAGGCAGGTCTCAAACTCCTGACCTCAAGCAATCCACCAACCTCGGCCTCCCAAAGTGCTGGGATTACAGGCATGAGCCACAGCACCCGGCCATTTATTCATTCTTACATTCATTCATTCTATGAATAACTACTGCCTGGTTATCACACATCTGGCAGGGTTCCAGGCACTGGGGAAACAGCAATGAGCAAAACAAAGTTGCTGCTCTCTTAATGGATTCATCATTCTAATGAGGGGGAAAGAGACAGGCAATCCATAAACAAACCATTAACACAGACAGCACATCAGGTGGAGAGCACTATGAAAAATAAATACTAAAGCAGGTATGGCCAGGTGCGGTGGCTCACACCTGTAATCCCAGCACTTTGGGAGGCTGAGGTGGATGGCTCCCTTGAGGTTAGGAGTTCAAGACCAGCCTGGCCAACATGGTGAAATGCCACCTCTACTACAAGTACAAAAAAAAAAAAAAAAAAAAAAAAA